ATACCTCTTTGGCTCCGGCGCTAATCAGCATGTGTACTAGTATTTGCATGGTATTACCTCGAACAATCGAGTCGTCCACCAACACGATACGTCTGTTTTCGACATTTTTTCTCAGCACTCCTAATAGTTCACCATATTACTATTATAAATACAACGTTTAAAAATAAGGTACGCACCAAATTTCTTGTGAATTGCAGATTGTCGCATAGCATCACACGGTTGTATAAATGATCGTCCAACGTAACTGTTACGATGAAAGCAAGGCTCGTAGGGGATATGCGACTGAAACATAAATGTAAGTTTTCTATTACTAATTACAGGTGTAGAAATCGCTAGCAATTTGACATCAAATTGCTAGCGATTTCTACATCTCAAGAATTTGCTTATCCTTTCTTCTTTAAATCTTGGCACATTGTGGAAGTTTGGTTCTAATGACAACACGAGATTTCATTGAAGCGGTCTTACGTTTATTTTGTCTAATCTGGCACTGTTAACTCTAAGGCCACTGCTGCAACAATCGTGCGCTGCGGTGAAGCGAAGGCTTCTGAAGACGCCGATTAGTTGAAACATACGTAAGGTTCCGTAATGAATGCTTAAGCAAACCTCGAGTTGGCAAAAATAGTAACAGCTCGACACAGTCAACTTAAAAGTCTTAGCATCCACAATAAGCATAGGACAAGATCTCTATATCACGAATACGTTCAAAATTAAAGGATACGTTGATTATAAGTACGATCTTGAAACGCTGCTCCAAATCTGTCTTTTGGAATGTCAAACTCCGTTTGACAGAAGTTACAGACATCGTTCTTTACCAGAAATAGCGTGCAGAACATGTAAACAAAAATGCAAACTTTCAAAACTGTGTACAAAAACAGCAAGGCAAAAGTTGATATTTGTGTCAATGATGTTGTTTTTTAATGTATATCATTTTCAGATTTGCTACTTCGATTTTCCCTCGTGAGTTTTCACAAACACGCAACTAGTTGGGAGGGCAAAAATAAAGTACAGTTCATGCATTCACAGAGGTAGGTCTTTGTTCATCGGACTCTCTTATCCTTACTAACAATAGAATGATTTACATAGGTGATCTCAAAAGTGAGTCGGCGTGACTCGCTACTATGGCTAC